GCCTTTAACCCCAAATCACATCTTGCTCTTAAAAACCAAGCCTATTCTGCCCCCTGGAGTTTTTGACAAGAAGGACCTGTATGTAAGACGCCGATGGAAACAGGTGCAATACACGGCAGACCTATTTTGGAAACGCTGGTGCCGGGAATATTTACCCCTCATGCAAGAAAGACAGAAATGGTGCAAGGAGAAGAGAAGCTTTAAACCTGGAGATGTAGTCATGGTAGTTGACCCTACTGCTCCCCGTAGCTCTTGGATCCTGGGAAGAGTGCTAGAAGCTATGGCAGACACTAAAGGACTGGTTCGAGCTGTCAAAGTTAAAACACAGACCAGTGTGCTGGAGAGGCCAATCACCAAGATCTGTCTGCTGTTAGAATGTGAAGAGTGACGGCAGCAAAGAGTCTTCTTCAGCTGATGGCACGATGATATCATGAAGCAAGGATGAGTAACACCACACAACTCATATGACTGGATTAATGAAATGTATAGAAATCCTGACTGTATAGGCTCCTTTTAAAAATATATATATATTGGATAATTGTTTTTGTGTTATTCCAAAATACAATTAGATGCCGGTTATGTAGGAGCCATTTCCTTAGTTTGTATTAATGTATCATTTTAGAGTACATTGATAGCATGAGATTGTGTGGTGTATATTATTTATTATTTAATTTGAGTGTGTTACTCCTGCAGGTCGGGTTTTGCATGCATAAAAGGAGAGGTGCTGCAGCCTAGTGGTGTGGCTGACTGAAGCACAAAGTCTTTAGACCAGTGGCGGCTGGTGGAAAATATTTTAGGTGGGGCTGTGGAAATGGTGATCAAACAATACTAGAGGGGTCCGGGGGGATGCTCCCCCGGTAATCTTTTTTGAGAAAAGACTCCTTAAATCATGACTTCTGGTGATGTTAGAGGGGGGGGGGAGAAGGACAATTTGAGGCTTAAAAATATGAGAAGACTGATCAATACCTCCATAACTTCAGTGTGGTTAGCTATGAATCTTCCAAAACTTCCAAACACCTTGTCCTGGACATAGTTTCTACAGCATAAACTGTGCAACAGTACAGTAGGCCTACACAAACTGCAGAACACCGGGGCTTTGGGAACACTGATTTAATTCCCATTTAACCTGTTAAGGGGCTTTTTTCCCCCGTTTTTTTTCTCACGAAACTGTGTCTCAGGGCTTCTTAAAATGTAATAAACTATTCATGTGTCCTACTCAGAGGAAACGCAGCTAACTGATGATATGAACCATGTTTACCGAAACAAAACACAAGTCTCACAAGCCCCTCACTAACCCTAACCCACAAGCTCCCTAAAAGCCAGATGTTGTTTTTAAGTCGTTAAAGACATCGTTAAATAGGTGAAGAAAAGTTTAAAGTTTATTACATTTTAAGAAGCCCTGAGACACAGTTTCGTGAGAAAAAAAACGGGGGGAAAAAAGCACCTTAACAGGTTAAATGGGAATTAAATCATTTTAAGTAATTTTGAGTGTTCCCAAAGCCCCGGTGTTCTGCAGTTTGTGTGGGCCTACTGTACTGTCTGTTGCACAGTTTATGCTGTAGAAACTATGTCCAGGACAAGGTGTTTGGAAGTTTTGGAAGATTCATAGCTAACCACACTGAAGTTATGGAGGTATTGATCAGTCTTCTCATATTTTTAAGCCTCAAATTGTCCTCCCCCCCCTCTAACATCACCAGAAGTAATAATTTAGGGGGTCTTTTCTCAAAATGTTTTACCGGGGGAGCATCCCCCCTAGTATTGTTTGATCGCCATTTCCACAGCCCCACCTAAAATATTTTCCACCAGCCGCCACTGAAAGTAAGTATTAAATAATTGTAGTGGAGTAAAAGTACACCTTTTATCTCTTAATTGTAGTGGAGTAGAATTACAAAGTAGCATAAAATAGAAATACTCAAGTAAAGTACAAGCATCTAAAAATGTACTTAAGTAAATGTACCTAGTTACTTCCCACCTCTGAAATCAGATATGACTCCCTCAAGTCATGTCATTTATTAGTATTTGATCCTTCAACTTGGCCTCAGGAAATGCAAGGACTTAACATTTTGGCAACACAACAGTTTGCACCATTCTTTAGAAATATGAGGCCACCTTGCAACTTGACAGAGACACTATTCTGAGAGAATTGATGCGTTTAACCTGAGCCTGTTTTTCAGGTCTCAGGCTCGAAAATGACATTCCCAGAACAAATGACTATAACTTCAGTTCTAAAAGGGGTAAATTAATCATATTTTTTCTCAAAAGCAATGATAAACCTGTGAGTTGGACGTAGAAAAGTCAGAATCAATATAGATTTTTTTTATTTTAAAATAAATTCAGATTGAATTTAGTAAAAAAATGTAAATTATAGTTTCCGTCCAAAAAACCCCCATTACTTATAGTGAAAACCACCCTTGAATGATGGGATAGTAGACTAAAAGCTTTAGGAATCCAAACTATAACATATAATAAGTACTACAGTACCCTGTACACTGAAAAAATTGTTATGTTGAATTTACTTAATTTTATTAAGGTAAGTGGTTGCACGAAACAAAGTTATCTAAATCCAGGTTTTTTTTTTAAGTTCACTGTACTTATTATTTGAGTAATTTCAATTTAATTATACTGATAATTTTCACCTCAACTATTCCGAGTAAAATGTACTCACTAAACCCATATTAAGTTTACTAAAATGGATTATGTAACAGTAACCTTTTTTCTTTTTGTACATTCAGATCAATTCAATAGTTTAATTTCTACATACAAAAATTAAGTTGAATTTAATTAAACATTTTCAGCCATTATTACTATGTCAACTTTCAATATATTAAAATAAAAACAAACAACATATTTGATACATACTCTTACTTCATTATCTTGTACAAAATGACGTAACATGAAGCATGTGTCTTACACGAAACATCTTCTGATTCGAATAAAACAACATGCAACTGTCATGGCCTCCACCGTGTGTGTGTGTGTGTGTGTGTGTGGCGTCCACAATCCAATCACCTCTGCTATAAGACTCCGGCCCTGACTCCTCCACTTCGCCATATCGTAGACTCTGTAACCACAGTCAGTCATTCACGTCTCCTGTGCCTGCAGCTTCAAGCCAGCCTGGTTGGAGAGTGCAGGGAGAAGAGCCTGGAGGAGCGGGACAGGGTCCAACGTTGGAGGTGGTCTGGAGACAGGATAGGAGTCAGGCAGGCTTGAAGCTGCAGGCACAGGAGACGTGAATGACTGACTGTGGTTACAGAGTCTACGATATGGCGAAGTGGAGGAGTCAGGGCCGGAGTCTTATAGCAGAGGTGATTGGATTGTGGACACACACACGCACGGGGAGAGACAGACTAGGCAGAGGTGGAGGCCATGACAGCAACAAAGTGCAGTGGAAACAGACAGAGAATAAATCCTGACGTAACATGAAGCATGTGACTGAGGAGAATATAACCTTCCACACATTAATAAATGTAATATTTTCACATTCTTCTCCAGAACTAGATGTAAATTGCCAATATAAAAAATAAAATGTTTTACGCTTGGCTAAGGTAGAAAAAGTTGCCGTTTCGATAAAAACGAAATGCAACAAAGTGCAGTGGAAACTGAAGTAAGAAGATATGATTCTACACTGTATTGAAGTAAACATGTATTGTTTGAACTGTTTTATGTAATCACAACGGTTTGGGTAATTATATATAGAATAGGAATGTTATTCTCACTTTTAAATTCACTGACTCAGAGATTCTGTGTTTCATACACCAACCTTGCCTGGGTTTCACCCCTAAAAGCAGATGTCGTCATTAAGGTCGTGAAAGACAAACATTACATCCTTCTTATCATTCCTAAGAGCCAGATGCGGTCACTAAGTCGTTAAAAGACATCGTAAAATAAGTGGAGAAGAGTTTAAATGTCTGTGGGAGAATGGTTTAGGTGAAAATATCCCCTAGAAAGGAATGTAGAGTAAGATAAGGTAAAGATAAACATTGACTTTTGACCTGGTGTGGTTGGGGATCTCACTCTGTTCGAAAACTCTGATTGACCTCGGCCAGAAGCGAATCCAGCCAATCAGGGCACTTGGGGGAGGTGGTCAGTTTAAACAGCTCCTCCCCAGGGGCTCTCTAATTCGCTTGGGAGAAAAGTGGGAAGGAAGAATCGACAAATCTCCGCCCCAAGGACAGATAGAAATACTGATGTTTGTGTGTGTAAAAATGCTTTTGGGTTTGGTGAGTGGTTTGATCCCGATATCTGTATCCGCTTCGCATCACAGACCTGAAGTCCAATTTCTTTTTGTTTGATGAGTTGGTTTGATCCCGACACATTTATCCGCTTCGCATCACAGACCTAAAAGCCCGGAGTACCCGGAGTACTCTGTATAACTTGTATATGTGTTTGGTTTCCTACTAGAAGTAAACTCAGATAATTTGTTATAACTTTGATTCCGGTGTTTTCAATTCCTTTCTTAATTTAATAGAGATCCAGCCTCATCCAACGAACGGCGCGTAGCAGAGGTATTCTACTCCAACAAAACAGACAGCGAATAAATCCTGACGTAACATGAAGCATGTGACTTAAACAGCTGAGGAGAATATAACCTTCCACACATTAATACATGTCTTCTAAGTCCATCAACATTTCCACATTCTTCTCCCAACCTTTGAGTATACCTATATGTAAGACTGGTGTTTTTGTAATGCTTTAGTGGCATCGGTTCACAAGAGCGGCTGAAGAAATCCTACAGTCCAGCATGTATCTTGTTCTTTAGTCCAAGGACTTTGGGGGAAAGCCTTTCACCATCCATTTGCAAGAGCACTTTCTGAATGAATTCATAGTAGTACCTTAGCTCTTTGGGGTAAGCCATGTTCAGTGTATAGATGACTCCCAGCATGATGGCACAAGCTTGGGCTACAGATCCAATGTTGTCCAGAATGATTAGTCCTTCAACAAAAATCCCAACGTCGTCATAATGTCCAGGTTCTCCACCATCCTTGTTGATGACGTATATGCCCATGGTAGATTTCTGCAGGTCTCTGGTGACGTCATCTCCTCCGATGTCCTGTATATTTAAAGAAAAAACATGTATTCATTCAATATATGTAATTTGAATGACATACTTTATCTTATACATTTTTTGTAATATTGCTCACATACCTATGTATGTACCCTTAAAACAAAGCTGGTCATACTGTATATATTTCTGAATCAAACTAAATATGTGTGAGGTGTTTTTAAAGATTTACGTACGACCCAATAAGCTTGGTGATGAGTGTCAGAAGTCAGAGAGGATTGACAGGTGGACTAAGACATTGTTGATTATGGTCTTTCCATTGGACAACAAGAAAAAGAATGAATAAAGCCAACCTCATCGTTGTTGGAGCAGAACACCTCTGCTACGCGCCGTTCGTTGGATGAGGCTGGATCTCTATTAAATTAAGAAAGGAATTGAAAACACCGGAATCAAAAGTCATAACAATTATCTGAGTTTACTGGTAGGAAATAGAACAAGTATACAAGTTATACAGACTTCAGGTCTGTGATGCGATGCGGATAAATGTGTCGGGATCAAACCAACTCATCAAACGAGATGAAAGTGACTTCAGGTTTGTGATGCGATGCGGACACAGATATCGGGATCAAACCAACTCACCAAACCAAAAAGCATTTTTACACTCAAAAACATCAGTATTCATATCTATCTTTGGGGCGGAGATTTGTCGACTCTTCCTTCCCATTTTCCTCCCAAGCGAATTAGAGAACCCCTGGGGAGGAGCTGTTTAAACTGCTCACCTCCCCCAAGTGTCCTGATTGGCTGGATTCACTTCTGGTCGAGGTCAATCAGAGTTCCGAACAGAGAGTGAGATCCTAAATTTCACCAGGTCAAAAGTCAACGTTTATCTCCACCTTATCTACACCACATTCCCTTCCCATGCGTTCTTCACCTATTTAACGATGTCTTTAACGACTTAAAAACAGCATCTGGCTTTTAGGGGTGATAAGGAGCGATGTTGGTGTGTGACACACAGAATCTCTAAGTCAGTGAGTTGTGATTACATAAAACAGTTCAAACGATACATGTTCACTAAAATACAATTCAAAATAATACATGTTTACTTCAATACAGTGTAGAATCATATCTTTTTACTTCATCGTATAAAGAAACAAGGTGATGGTTTGAAATGCTTTAGTCTGTTGATGAATATCAACATTCATACATATAAATATGCTCAACCTTCATGCTCCTTATAAGGTAAAAAATAATTATCTAAAATGTATGCCTGGCCACACACACACACACACACACACACACACACACACACACACACACACACACACACACACACACACACACACACACACACACACACACACACACACACACACACATAATTATTTCTCACTTTTGGCAAAGAGTCCACCTCAAGACGGGTAACATTTAAACTAGGGCTGTCAAGTTAACGCGTTAATAACGCGTTAACGCAAAAAAAAAAATAACGCCACTAATTATTTTAACGCGATTAACGCATGTGTATTTTTTGTCCTCGCCGCCCCGTAGTTTCAGAGCGCATCGAGTTTTAAAATACCATCTACAAGCTGATGCTGACAGCCCCGCTCCTGCTGCCCGCTTGTGGCAGACCACACTTCCACGCTCACCGGCAGGCCCGGACTGGCCATCGGGAGGACCGGGAGGGAGTGTGTATGTGTGGCGCGACTTGCGCGAGCGAGGCACACCTTACGTGTTGTTGTTAGCATCTGGTGCTAGCTAGCTGCGCTAATGGATATAAGGAGCTGTTTCAAGGACATTTCGCCGACAACTGCGCCGAGCACTTGACTTTATGCAGGTAGCCAGACAGTGGGACATTGTACGAAAAGTCAGCTCACTCAGCACGGATAGTACGCGCTACATGATTGCAGCGTCCAGGCAGCACACGTTCGAGCATATATGCCTTGAGCGGCACATAGCTCCAACATCACAGTGTCTCTCCACACACACACAACACACACACACACACACACACACACACACACACACACACACACACACACACACACACACACACACTTATTGTATGAGAGAGGTTCCAGGTTGAATTGAGGCGCATATTTGTAATGTTCAGAGGTTGTTGTGTTTAATATTCATGAGAATATTTGTCATTGTTCAAATAATAATAAACAAACATATAAAGCATATTTGTCCACTCATATGTTGATAAGAGTATTAAAAACTTGAAAAATATCCCTCTAAGGTACATTTAGAACAGATAAAAAATGTGCGATTAATTTGCGATTAATCGCGATTAACTATGGACAATCATGCGATTAATCGCGATTAAATATTTTAATCGACTGACAGCCCTAATTTAAACACACCTCGGAGCGCTTAGTTCTCTCTCCGCCGTGTGTGTGTTGAATGCATGTCGCAGCCGCCTGTGTGTAAACTGCCCCGCCCCCTCGCACACAGACGGGGCACGGGGGATTGGAAAGATCGAAAATACATCATAGACGCATTTCGTTTTATAGCATATTATATACGGTGTTGGCGAAACTAAGACTACCCCCTCCCCCCTAGTTCGGGGGGAAAGTACTCCGGTCCGGTGTACTATAAAACCAAGATATGAACGTTAGCCGCGGTAACATTAACCCCTTGCCGCCAGAGAGTAACGTTACCAAAAGCAGTGATAAGAATAAAAAAAAAAAAAACATACTTACAGTCGGCCAGTATACAAGCCGGGGCAGCGGGGAAGTTGAAGCTACAAAAAAAAAAGCCATAGGAACAGGCAGTTAACATTCAACTTGTATTAGCCAACAACTAATAAGAAAGTCTAACAAGACAAAGATTGAATTTAACACGTATTTAACTTGAGAGCAGTATTAAGTTATCTTATAATGTTAATGATGCATGTTACACTTCATTTAGGTTACTTAAACATTACTACACAACTAAGCTAGGTTAACAGTAGGCTAACAGTTAGCTAGCTGCTGCCTATGTTAACGTTTGCTAATGTTAATCTATCAAAACACACAGTCTATAGCATTAATGTTAGCTATTAAGCTACCTATTTAAGTATAATATAATACACCCAATGCTATAAATTAGCTAGCCTACTTACTTAAAACGGAGAGCCGTGGAGAACGTTCACCTCACGACAGCGGAGCTACGCAGGTGTTCCGGATTAACTGGTTCCCCGATCAACTTTGGCACAGATGTGAGGGGCGTGGCCTTCGACTGAAATACACATTTCGATCGCTTCTTCTGTCGTTTACATAAATGTTTTGGTATATTTGGCTCGGTAGGAAGACTTTGATGCACATTCAGTACCAGTGTGTGAGGTTGTGGTTACGATGGCGATATCCGGACGTGAACAGCGAGGACTACAAAAAAAGAAACGAGTTGACTGGGGATGTCTGTTCAAAACATTGCGAGCTCCAATAAATCATTTAAACCAGCTATTGTTGCCAGAGTTATTACTGATTATCGTTCTTAATGTGATACCAAGTCCATCTGAGACCTGTGTACACCTTCAGATAGCCTCCAAGTGAAGCGTACGTTGTTTACTCACAGTTTGAAAGCAGCGTGGAGAACTCCTCAGCTGTGGTAAGCTGTGATCCGCTCCAATAAATCATTAAAACCAGCTATTGTTGCCAGATTTATCACTGAATATCGTTCCTAATGTGATACTAAGTCCATCTGAGACCTGTGTACACCTTCAGACAGCCTCCAAGTGAAGCACACGGTGTTTACTCACAGTTTGAAAGCAGCATGCTGGAGAACACTTCATCTGTGTTAAACTGTGACCCGCTCAGGTAAACGGCGATCCGCCCAGGGAACTGGGACCCGCCCATGTTAAACTGTTATCCACCCAGGTTAAACTGTGTTAAGACTTCTGTGGCTATCTACCAGCGATCAAGTTTAATATGAAAGACTACACACACATTTATCCCTTATAAAAACAGTATTCTGCAGCACTCATCCAGATAAGATGTGACTGTTAACTCGTTTTACAAAGATAGCAGCAGAAATGTCATTGCTGCATGTGCAGGGATACTTAGACTTTAAAATGCTGATGGGTCATTAATGTTGGTCTCGGCAAACAATAGTAGGAGTCCTCTATTCAAACGTAATATTCAGTGTGTAGCGACATGAAAATAACAAAAAAGTTCATGCTGGACTCAAACCCGAATCCCAATAGCAAAAATCACTCGGGCCCTGCGCTTTACTAGTGCACCACCGATCTACTCAAAGTGTTACACCACTAGACTTTAATATATTGCATTATAACCTTGTTAAAAAGTTCCAGAAAGATGCAACCCGACCATCATTTACTATGTGAGCGAATGTATCTACACTTATAATATACATATTATAGTAGGCATTTGCTTAGAAATAGTATAGGCTACTGACTGAGGTCTGTATCAAGCCTCATTAAGACCCACCGAGATCAGATATCCTAGTTTATCAGCCTGCGAGCCCACATTATGTTGTGATAACTTTTAATTGTACATATAAATGTGTTCTAGTGCACACATAAAGTTCCAATATGCAAATCAGGCCATGTGTGTTGTTACATTTGCCATGCAACATTATGCTATAATATAATATTTAGCCTCACAATATAGACATTTTTAAACACAAACTTTTTAAATAGGCCCCCCATTTCCTGTTGCTATGTCTGCTAATGCAGAAGCTGATAGGATGTAAACCTGGATCAAAGCTGTTGCGCTAGAAACACTTTGGATAAAAGCGTCTGGTAAATGCAATGTCATGTAATGTAATTGACGTCAGTGTTTTCAACACAATGATTTTGTTTATGATTCTCCAGAAGGTATCGTGTTGGGTCCGTGGCGCACTCATAACGCGTAGGGCTGGAGTGAAATTTGCTGTTGGGATTCGGGTTTGAGTCCAGCATGAACTTTTTTGTTATTTTCATGTCGCTACACACTGAATATTACGTTTGAATAGAGGACTCCTACTATTGTTTGCCGAGACCAACATTAATGACCCATCAGCATTTTAAAGTCTAAGTATCCCTGCACATGCAGCAATGACATTTCTGCTGCTATCTTTGTAAAACGAGTTAACAGTCACATCTTATCTGGATGAGTGCTGCAGAATACTGTTTTTATAAGGGATAAATATGTGTGTAGTCTTTCATATTAAACATGATCGCTGGTAGATAGCCACAGAAGTCTTAACACAGTTTAACCTGGGTGGATAACAGTTTAACATGGGCGGGTCCCAGTTCCCTGGGCGGATCGCCGTTTACCTGAGCGGGTCACAGTTTAACACAGATGAAGTGTTCTCCAGCACGCTGCTTTCAAACTGTGAGTAAACACCGTGTGCTTCACTTGGAGGCTGTCTGAAGGTGTACACAGGTCTCAGATGGACTTAGTATCACATTAGGAACGATATTCAGTGATAAATCGGGCAACAATAGCTGGTTTTAATGATTTATTGGAGCAGATCACAGCTTACCACAGCTGAGGAGTTCTCCACGCTGCTTTCAAACTGTGAGTAAACAACGTACGCTTCACTTGGAGGCTATCTGAAGGTGTACACAGGTCTCAGATGGACTTGGTATCACATTAAGAACGATAATCAGTAATAACTCTGGCAACAATAGCTGGTTTAAATGATTTATTGGAGCTCGCAATGTTTTGAACAGACATCCCCAGTCAACTCGTTTCTTTTTTTGTAGTCCTCGCTGTTCGCGTCCGGATATCGCCATCGTAACCACAACCTCACACACTGGTACTGAATGTGCATCAAAGTCTTCCTACCGAGCCAAATATACCAAAACATTTATGTAAACGACAGAAGAAGCGATTGAAATGTGTATTTCAGTCGAAGGCCACGCCCCTCACATCTGTGCCCCAGTTGATCGGGGAACCAGTTAATCCGGAACACAGGCAGTCCTGTCCTTCCGATTTCTAATGGAAAATGGAGGGAAAAGTATGGGCATAGATATGTCTCATAATTATTTGTGTGAACATAAAAATTATTTGTGTGTAAATATGTGATTTGGAAATGTAAAACACAATCCACAAATGCATTTAAAAGATTTGCAAACTCACAAATAAATTTGCAAATGTAAAACGGATCTGCAAATACGCTAAATATGTTCACAAATAAAAAAAAGATCTGTGAATATCTCTTTAACATTTACAACTTTCGATCAGGCATTTGTGAATCCATTTTGTATTTGTCGACCAAAAATGCGCTTGTGGATCTCAACTCTCTGCTCGTGGATCTCAAATGTCTGCTTGTGGATCGTCTTTTTACACACACGGAATTTTGAGACAAATTTTCCTCTGGTCTCAGCTAAAATCTACTCGTGTAACTCGGTTATTTTCGGAAACCACGTGATGGCCTGCTGATGACGACATTTCCGCATGATTTCAAAGTAAGAGCATGATGGCTTGTTTAATGCTCTGTTTTTTTATTATAATGAACAGCGAAACGTTAGATGCATTCTTTATCACCATCATCATCATCATGTTATGGTGATACAGTTAGTTTGTGTTAGTTTATTGGTTCAATACAGCATATATCGAGCACTTTCGTAGGCATTGATGTTGAAGTACAGGCTACGCCACTTCGGGTCCCGGGGGAGCAGCTGGCAGCGAAGCAGCCCAGAGGAAACTCTTTCTTCATTGTTTTTTGTGTATTCAGTCAAAGTTACAAAGCACTTCACATTTTATTAATCGGCCTAATTTTACCTTACCAGTGCAGTAATAAAGTAATCTGTAGAAAAGCACCGTATTTAGGTCAGCCTTCATAGTAAGGCTACATTAAATGTTATAATATTCATTGTGTCCTTTCTACTGTATATGCATATATTCCTGTCTATTGCTTTCATTTGTGTTTCATGTTATTATGTTTATACTTGTTTCCACACATTTCACAATTTGGGATGAATGAAGTATCTATCTATTGTTGGAGTAGAACACTTTTCTGGTGGCTAAATAGCCCCCCCCTCTCCGCGCCGTTCGTTGGATGAGGCTGGATCTCTATTAAAATAAGAAAGGAATTGAAAACACCGGAATCAAAGTTATAACAAATTATCTGAGTTTACTTCTAGTAGGAAACCAAACACATATACAAGTTATACAGAGTACTCGAGTACTCCGGGCTTCAGGCCTGTGATGCGGTTTTACAGGTAGACAGACCAGCTTTCAGAAAACGAGAAGTATGGACTCCAGGTTTGTGATGCGGTTTACCGTCTTCTAGCACCAGCTTTCAACAGACCAGAAGCATTTTTACATACAAAACCAACCGTATACATATCCCTATTTTGGGGCGGGGATGTGTTGAATTCTTCCTTCCAACTTTTCTCCCAAGCGAATTAGAGAACCCCTGGGGAGGAGCTGTTTAAACTGACCACCTCCCCCAAGTGCCCTGACTGGCTGGATTCGCTTCTGGCCGGGTTCAATAGTTCTCACCAGGACTTGAAATTCCAAAGTCCCCTAAGGTCAAAAGTCAATTCTTATCTCCGTCCCGATCTCCCCTCCCTACCTTTTCCAGGGGAGTTATCTCATAAACTTTTCTTTTTAAAACAATTAAACCTTTAGTGCCCCCATAAAAAGAGACCCAAATCTACCTTAAAAACAACATCTGGTGTGTTGAGGTGAAAGGGACAGGGTGTGTATATGACCCAGGAGTGTGATTACTTAAAACAGTTCAAACATGTTCACTAAAATACAATTCAAAATAATACATCTTTACTTCAATACAGTTTAGAATCATATCTTCTTACTTCACTACTTACTTCATCTGTCTATCTATCTATCTATCCATCTATGATATCCATCTATCTATCTGTCTATCTATCTATGATATCCATCTATGATATCCATCTATTTATCTGTCTGTCTGTCTGTCTGTCTGTCTGCCTTTATCTATCCATCCATACCAGTATATGTGGTAATTAAATGGTACATAATTTTTTCTAATTACTTTTAAATGAATGAAATGAACTTGTTTTAAACAGTGACAAAATATGTTAAGATTAATTAAAAAAGATAAGAAGGATGCTATAACACATTCAAATCTATTAAAAAAGGCTAGATTAAAACATGTAACATCTAAAAGGGGTCAGAATCAGTTTTTTCAGTGTATCAAGATTGATGCAAAACAAGTGAAATTTGACCTTTTTAGAGAGGTTTAGAAAACAAAACCCACTTCTGGGGTCATTTGGGTGGATTTGCCATATCTCTGGAACCCATCGGTCGATTTTGATGATTGACACCACTTTTGAATCGTCAGAGCCAATAGAATCGAGGGGAAGTTCCTAAAATCCATCTAAACATTACCATTGGTGAATGAGCGCAGCGTTTTTGACATAAATCTTATGATGGATTATCAGTAATCATTTCAAAGTGACACAGACACATTGGATTAAACTTCAGCAGCGTTTTTATCGATTTAATGGCATTGAACACAACTTTTGATCAGAAAACAACAAAGGTAAGACGTATTTGCCGTTTTGGCCCCGTAAAGCTAAGTTGTGTGTTGTCTGGTTTCGCCTTCGCTGCCCGGAGTTTTGGTCGTGGATACTTATACCATTGGAATCTGTGGAATCTCAGCTTTCATATGATATCTTGTTTGTGCAGAACCGATGAAGTATACAATATTTCTACCGTGAGTTCTGTGCTAAGTGCGTTAGCATTATTTCGCTTAGTGCTAATTCAGAGGCTTGGTATTATCCTTGTGTTTCGTTTAGCTAAAAATTGATAATATTGTCTGATAGCTGAATTTCTTCCCGTTAAGTGGGTATGACACATTAATAGTTTGTTAAATGTTAAGAAGCCCTCAGACGCTGTTTCTTGCAAGATTTTGCGTTTTGGGGCTTAACAGGTTAATGAACATTTAATCTATTTGATTTCAAATAGAGCTGATCTTCCTTGATTACATCAAGCAATTTCTTTCTCTTCCTGTTATTCAGGATGCAGAAGTTAAATTATTTTTTGGGGATAAGCCACAATTGTAGGCTCACATGCTAACAGGCTAATATTAAAGATTCCAACTTCCTCCATCTTAGTTTAGGTTTGGTTATATCTAGAAACTCCAAGTAGTGAGCTAAAAGGCATATTGGAATTGTTAACCAATATGTTTCCCTCAAGTGTTTCAAACCAATGTATTTATTTATCTCCCATCTCCATCATTGCAGCCGGAAGTGGAGCAGAGTGAAATGCACCCTACATATTCTCAGGGCTTTAGCTTGAACCATATCCAGTTTGTTTTTCACTATAGGAGCTGCCATACAAGCCATACAACCTTAATCAATAACTGATCTTATCATTGCTCTATACATTATAATCATTTTCAACCTAACCTACCATTTACCTAAAACATTCATTTTCTTCACGCTTTAATTAAATCTGCTTTCCAGTCAACTTAAGATCATTTCAATAATGTTTTGGACTTTCAATCATCTTACCATTTCTGTAGATTCATACTAAGCAATTTCTTGTATTTTCCAAAAAATATGTATTTTGTTTTATATTTTGATATTTTGAAGCCCCAAGCATTTGCCCGCCCAGTCACTCCGAGAGGCATCCAGGTCTATTGATTAAATATGATAATATTTAGACAGTATGACAAACACAAAAATCTGTATTCTGTATTGTTTAATAGAACACAACCATTAAACAGTAACTAACATGTAAAGCACAAGTGAGTCATAATTGTATAATTCTTCGAGTTTAAAGAAATCTCAAATAGTAACAACTCATATAAAATCATGGTTAGGTGAAACACAATTAACAGAATTGATATTGGCATTGACATTTTTCAAACAGACATTAATCTTGTCTGCCATAATGAAACAACTTCATGAAGCCTCGGCTCACTGACTGGAATGCGTCGGCCAATCACTGAAAGACTTCCAAAGGAAAGGTAAAGGAATTTCAAATTCCATCTTTTTATTGCTCACTCTGATGTATGGTGCTGTGCTCTGGGATGTGATTCTCATAAGATCTACACTTTCATTAAACCCTCTATAGAGATGTGACTGCAAAATACTGATAAACTCCTTGGCATCCTTATCTACACGCTCCATACTAAGAGCATTATAAGCCTTTTGAATCTGCATTTTGGCATGTTCCTTATACTGAGCCACATATCTATTTGCCTCCTCGGTATGTTGATTTGAGGAATGTAGAACCTCTGCATAGATGGAATCAACCTGAGAAGCGATATTGAAGTTTTCATTTTTTAGGTATTTGATCAAACTCTCTGCTTTTTCAGCAATCACCTGAAGCAGGTCATCAACTGTTTTGTGGAGCAAATCAAACCCTCTGTGCACAGAATGTCTTAGCTGAACATACACAGATCTAGTAGAATACATCAGGTTATCCATGGTCTCCTTTCCATTGACAACGACATCAGTTCCAGGTAAGGTACATTTGATTTCCCTGATGTATCTAATAATCTTCTCAACTAGGCTGGCAAACCTTAGCAGTGCCTTGTCAGTGGCTCTTGATACAAATGAACAAGCTTGCTGAAGCATCTCCAGGCTTGAGAGCTCTTCTTGAGATCCGGGTAATGTAAACTTTATGTCACTTAAGGACTGTGTGACTTTATCTAACAAGACATGGATATGGTCTTCACCATATTTCAACACTTGTCTAGCCTCAAGAGACAACCTGTCTATAACATCCTGCACACTCAGGGAATTCAAGCTTTCAGAAACCTTCCTGTACATGCCTTCTAATTGATCAGCCAGGTGTTTGATTGAATTATGCAATGTGTTAAAAGATAGAGGCATCTCATGATATGCTCTCTCTATGACGTTAGAAACAGTGTTTTTCAGCTTCATTCCACCTCGGTTTACATCAAAGCCAAAGTGGTAAGTGTGGTACTTGTTAAAGAACTTGAGGACAGCGTCTGTCATAGCAGGGATCCTGTCCTTGGTGCCCTCAATCACATTATGGAAGAAGTCGAAATTCCATGACATCTGTAAGATCATCTTCTTAGAGTTTTTCAGCGTAGCTTTGGCAGAGAAAACATCAATATCCCTTTCAGGAGAGGACTAAAGTTGAGGAAAGAATTTGTGAATAATAATTGTTAAAATGTCACGTTGCACTATAATGCATTATTCCATCGGTAGTTTTACTTGTATTTTGCTGTTGACAAATTACAAATAAAGCAGCTTAAGATGTCTTACCATGTAGCGACTAAAAAGTTTTCCATTCAACTGTGACGGAGACCTCCGCTGAAACTGCCATCCAAGGAAACCAGATGATGGACAAGACATAGAAGCAGTTATGCCATCTTTGCGGGAAGCGAAGCGGAAGCTCGTATCAAAAAATGTTCGGCTTGACACATCAACATTAAGAGTATGACGAGACTCCCTTTAAAACAAAGAAACAGTGGTTGGTGAAGTTATTTTTCTATTCCAGGAGCAATAACTTTTTGAGATTTAAATTTGCAGAAAATCTTCCTTGGAGTAAAAATATCTTACATTGAATCAGCCAGAGGGGTTTGGCGCTTCATCCTGACAAACAGAAATCAGAATACTATAATTTTCGCAGGGGAAATTGGGTTTTGTGACAGCTGTTCCATTTAACAATAAAACTAAAATGTAAGATAAATGAAATAAAATATTTATTAAAAAAAAAAATGTTATAAAAATAAAGGAGTAAGATTGAAAAGATGAAATAAACTACGATATAAAAACATACGAAATGTAGTAAATGTCCAATAAATTATCAAATAACAAATAAAAATATAACACTGTGTGCACAATTATTAGGCAAGTTGTATTTTTGAAGATTCATTTTATTATTGAACAACTACAGTTCTAAATGTTAATGAACCTCAAACCTGAATATATAAGAAAGCACACTTATGTAAATATATTTAGCATGTTCATTGAAATGCCCAACGTTTTACTGTGATATCTTGTTTCAACAGTTACTTTATGACTTTACTTTTTGTATTATTATTTTAATTTGTATTTTTACCTTGTGTGAATATTGTGTTTCACTCTGACCCTGTTGCTGCTATAAACGCCTAGATAAAGTTCCATCTTATCTTATCTTATCTTAAAAGTGAGGTTTTGGCTTACTTAAGAGATGTGCAGAATTATTATGCAACTAAAGGAAAAACGAAAATGTTCCCATCTAACTTGTTTATATTCACCTAAAGTCAGAATAATAAACATACAACTCAAAATGTACAAATAAATATTTCTAACATAAAAAAAAGACCAGATAATAATACTAATACCCTTCTCTTCAATAACAGTCACAAGCTTTCCATTGATGGAGTCTGTCAGTTTCTTGATCTTTTAACCATCAACTTCAGTTGACGATTGTTACGGCTTTATGTATTCCCTGTTTCTTTTTCCCTTTGGTTCCTCTACCCAGGTGTGCTGCATTGCTGTAACGAGGTTCAGACGAGGTGCACCTGGAGAAGGAAGTCCTTAAAAGCTCCAGTGCAGCAGCAGAAGAGAGAGGCCTCTGGTGTTGGGACTGCTGTGTTTCTGCCTCTAATCCTAGGATGTGTAGTTGAACATGTTACATGTTGATTATAGATTTTATGATTTTAAAGGTGTCTTTTGTGTTCTATTTGGGTCAGTGGTTGAATTTTGTTAGCCCCATAGGGCCATTTTAAGGGTGGGGCGTAACAACGATCAACCACAGCCTCCCAGACTCTGTTCAGAGAGCAATGGAGTACTTCAATGCATGCGATTGAGCATTGTCCTTCATAAAATCATGTTCTTCCTGAGAGATACAGACTTTTTCCTGTACCACTGATGGAAGAAAGTGTCTTCTAAAAACTGGCAGTAGAATTGGGAGTTGATTTTGAGTCCATCTTCAACCCGAAAAGGTCCAACTAGCTCTTCTTCAATAATACCAGCCCATACCAGAACCCCACCTCCACGTTGCTGTGGTCTGAGTCGAAGTGGAGCTCTGGGCCCGGTACTGAGCCACGGGCCCATCCATCTGGTCCGTCAAGAGTCACTCTCATCTCATGAGTCCAGAAAACCTTTGGAAAATCTGTCTCCAGATGTTTCTTGGCCCAGTCTTGACGTTTTAACTCATGTGTCTTGTTCAGTGGGGGTTTCAGCCTCCCTCACCTTGGCCATGTCTCTAAACACCTTACCAGGTGTAAGGTGTTTTCTGGGACCTCCAGGTAGTTCACAGTTCTGGAATATGACAGCATTGGAATATAATGGCTTCCTGGCAGCTTCACGTTTGATTCTTCTCTTAATTTGCGTCTTTTTGTCTCATCACGTTTCTTGCGACCCTGTTGACTATTTGCAACAAAACCTTTGACGGTTCTGTGATCACGCCCCAATATCTTAGTCATTTCAAGAGCTGCATCCCTCTGAAAGACTTTTAAAATGTTTGACTTTTCAAAAGTCCGTTTTGGCCCATTTTGCCTGAGGAAAAGAAGCTGCCTAATAATTATACACACCTTCATGTAGGGCAGGGGTCGGCAAGTAAGTTTGGCCTTGGGCCAATTTTTTTCTGAGCCACTAGATGGCGGGCCGGAACATAATCAAAGGGTTATTTAAGTAATTTATTGTTAAAACATGTGACACGTTCGCCGCTGCGGTGCTGTTCTGTGATTCTCCAGATTCTACAGATGGCCAGTCCGCCACTGCTCACAAGCTTATTAAGATCCACAGCTTTAGTGCGTTTTGAATCAATGCTGAGTAGCAGGGACGTGCACAGACATTTGGAGGGGCTATTGCTTTAAACTGGAAAAAGGGACTAATTGTGGGCTTATCATGTTGATTCGGCCACAATATATAAAAAAAAAAAAAACTCTCACTCTCTCCAGAGGGGCAGGTCAGACAAAAATGGCAAACGGGCTGTTGCCCGGGCAACATTAGCCCGTACCTGTGTACGTCCCTGCTGAGTAGGCTACAGCCAAACTTGACAGTCTCTTCTCTGTCATTGTAGACCGAATGCTTCTCGTTTTGCGCCGTCCCGTTCAAATGACAATCACATTTCCATGCTCGGGCCAGGGCCGGGGGAGGGGTTACAAGGCTCGCGTCTTGTGCTGCATTCACTTGCACTCGGACATTAGGGATTTTCGCTCATGTCCGATGAGCTAAAACTTTTCTTTCAAAACAAAGCTGCCAACTGGGGTCGCCCTCCATGATCAAGCGGCTTCTCCGATTTTGTTGTCAATGTTTTGACTGAACTTTGTTACTGTTCACATATAAGTAAACATTACGTTTGAATGATTTAGTGAGCTGGTGTTATTTTTTTCAAACCACAAACCGCATGTTGGCTATTTCAGCACCACGCGCTATCCACCTACTTATTGATCCACTATCAGCGTCAGTGCACGCCGCTGCCAGATTGTGCCTGTGCTGTGTGTCATTCACTCTCAACATGGATAAAAGTACAATAAGCATTCTTCAGGTGTAGGTAGACTCTCTATTCGGACATTATAGCCCATACAGTATGTGCGACTGTCGGTCCGATATTGTTAAAAAATAAATCTCAAAATAATCTTTTATTTTTATTCTCAAAATAATTTTCCGGGCCAAATATTATTGCTGGCGGGCCACCAATGGCCCGCAGGCCGCCTATTGCCGACCCATGATGTAGGGTGTTGATGTCCTTAGGCCACACCCTCCCTCATTACACAAATACATATCACCTAATATGCTTAAATCCAATTCAATTCAAGTTTATAGAGCTTGGAAAATATGCATAAAAATTATGATATGGTCAAAATACTCACTTGCCTAATAATTGTGCACACGTTCGATATATTATATCCACTTAAAAAAGTTAAGTACCAGCATACTGTCACTCCGAAGGAGGAGTTAAACCAACTCAGTCTCACAAAAAAACGTGTAATGGCTACGTTGGTCCACAGGGCAATTCACAAATAACCCTCTCAAGACGTGACATGGATACAATATTTTTTCCTATTCATTTCTAAAGACCAGTGTCCATATCACGTGATCGCAAACTTTCCTAGTGTGAGAAAAAAAAACGTGGCGGACACCCGATCTATTTTTAGGGGAAATTCCTAAATTGTAGGATAGTTTGTGGATGTGTAGGATGTGTTTGATAGATATTACGAAGATTATTTGAGGTCTCGCCAGGAGGACGTGTATATACTACGTATGTAAACTACAGTGGTTGCTCTGCGCGCACCACCTGAAATTGTGAGATTGCTACGTCTTTCCCCCTATTCATTTCTATTGACCAGCGTTCATGTCAAGTTATCGTCAACTCTCACCGGGTGAAAACATTTCCAGACTCGCCGTTTTCATAGTAACTAAGGCGGTTGCTAGGGACGCATATCATTCCCCTCCCTGTCGAATGATTTTACAGTGATATCTGCAGTACACATTTCTTTTGGAAAGCATCACGCTACCCATAAGCCTCAGCTATCTTTGAAGCTGGCTGATTGGATGTCTTACAATGCAGGTTGGGATATGGTGATTATGTGATAAAAAATACGAAAACAGTTATTTAAAAGAAAATAATACTTTATTCCGTGTGTGCTTGCTTTTCTCTTTGGAATGCATCACATAAATGCATTGTAATACACGGTTCGGCTGCAATAAATATTACACATCTGCCGTAGTTCTTTATTTACAGAGCCCCGATTAGAAGACTTTTGGATAAACTGGAAGACGTGGATAGCAAATAAATCCGCAATTAAACACCATCTTCAATTTCTCTTCACACAATACGTCTCCTTGCAGTATCAATAGTAATTCGGCTGACTTTTATATTTGTTCCAATCAGTAGATAGGCTATATTTTACACCTTTTTGCATACCCAAAATGAACTACAAAACATGATGTCGTTGCACAAAAAAACTTGTAGTTTTTAAAGATATTATTGATTTTATTTGCATTAAAGAATGTAAACTCCACTGAGTTGAGAGTATAGTCAGGGGTTTTAGGTGATGGGAGACACATCTATGGAATCAGAATTTCAATAGCTAACCGTTAAATGACTGAACATCATGTTTCTTCCTATTCCCATTTGGTGATTCTACCCTGTTAGGCATATTCACATAGTTTAGGTCAAGTGGTCTTTATAACAATTGGTCCCATGTATGTAGTCCCTTCTGTAACAGAATGACAAGCACTTAAAAATGCACTAAAGCCAATGTTCAAAGCTTAACAGTTGAGAGCGCGACCTGTTTATAATCTTCAAACTGACATGATGTTACTCTCCAGATTGAGACCTCTCCAACAATGTTTTGTGTTTACTCCTAAAACCTAGTTTACATTTTGCCCTTTCCTCTTTTTTTTGTGAGAATGGGTTGGTTAAACAGTCTTCCTGTAGCATTCTGGTTGAATAAGTCTTTCATATACTTTATTTATTTAACAGGTACAATTATCTTGCTCAACTAAAGTCAGTTACAACAGAAAAAACTCTACCCAAGATAATAATTATTTGGTAGCTCTGATATCTCTACTAACGAAAGAGTCTTGGCCAATTACTTTAACCTGTTAAGCCCCAAGGTCTCAGGCTCGAAAATGACATGCCCAGAACAAATGACTATATCTTCACTTCTAAAAGGGGTAAATTAATAATCTTTTTTCTCAAAGCAATGATACACCTGTGAGTTGGATGTAGAAAAGTCAGAATCAATATAGATGTTTTTATTTTTAAGTAAATTCAGATTGAACAAAAAAAAAAACATTACTTCTAGTGAAAACCACCCTTGAATGATGGGATAGTAGCCAAAAAGCTTTAGGAATCCTAATTATAACATATAAGTATCAAGATTGATGCAAAACAAGTTCAATTTGACCTTTTTAGACAGGTTTAGAAAATAAATCCCACCTCTGGGGTCATTTGGGTGTATTTGCCATATCTCTGGAACCCATTGGTCGATTTTGGTGATTGACACAGAGACATTGGATTAACCTTCAGCAGCGTTTATCTGCGTTTTAATGCCCTTGAACACAACTTTTGATCAGAAAACAGCAAAGGTAAGACGTATTTGCCGTTTTGGCCCCGGAAAGTGAAGTTGTGTGTTGTCTTTCCTGGCTTCGCTGCCGTGAGTTTTGGTCGCACAGTGATGAAACGTATACCAATGGAATCTGTGGAATCTCAGCTTTCATAGTTTGTGCAGATAGCATGAAGTATAAAATATCTCTACCGTGAGTTCTGTGCTAAGTGTGTTAGCATTTTTTCGGTTAGTGCTCGGATTCAGAGGCTTGGTGTTACCCTTGTGTTTTGTTTAGCTAGGAATGGTTAATATTGTCTGATAGCTGAGTTTCTTCCCGTTAAGTGGGTATGACACATTAATAGGTTGTTAAATGTTAACAAGCCCTGAGACACAGTTTCGTGAATATTGTTGGGTTTGCCCCCGCCGGTTGCTGTCATTTACACTTGTCATTTTTAATTGTCTTATATCCAGATTAGATGCAGACACATTCAATTACACTTTCATTCATTACTCAGATATATAAGTCTTCTTTGTGTAGATCCCACATCTGATTGCATACATTGAACTCATTTGGTTTTGCAGAGATAACTGCAAATTAAGGGTCATGAGGTGAATTTAAGCAGTTTATTTACAACAATACTATTTTAGCTAGCTAACAACGGTGCGCGAAAAGACAGGAAGAATGACGGTTAGTCTATGTGTAACTTTGGCGGCCATTATCTTGAGACAAAGCGCAGAATTCAATTTTTTTTGGGAAGTTTTGCTTCTATTGCAAAATGTAAAATGCACTAAAGGCAGGGGCGGACTGGCCATCGGGACGTTCGGGACGAATCCCGATGGGCCGGTACTGAAGTGGGCCGATCGGACGATGTGGGCTGGTCGGATAAGTCACTAGCACCCCCCCGCCCCCCTCCCCCCGTTGACAATTTACTTGCGGCACCGAGGTGGGCCGGTCGGATAACTCACTAGCACCCCCCCCCCCCCACAATTAAGTAAACTATTTAAGTAAAACCAGTGTATGCACTTACCTTAGGTTTTTTGACAAAACATGTTGCCAGTCAAAGTTTACGTCACTGTGTATCAAGTTGCACTTTCCATTTAGATCAAATACTCCATTGTCTAATCCAAGAATTGCACTGGCTGAAGGGACATAAGCAAAATGTAATATTATATTTGGCTGTCTATTAAAAAGCAACTTATTGGCTATAGAATTGACCACAACATGGTCTTATCGAGTAAAGTAAAGTACAGTGTGTGTTTGTCTTACCAGAGAGGTCATATTCCAAGAAGATCATAGTAGAAGTACATGTGGAATTCAGCAAAGTTATGAGGTTAGAGTTCTTTTTCTCCAGCTTGGCAGTTGTTGACACATTATATATAGGAGAGGAAACCTTCAGAGTGGCACTGAGGGATCCAAAAGTTGGGATAAACACACTTGAAGGAAGATGAAAGGCAGTTTCAGGGACTTCAATTTTTTGCTCTGGGATAATGATGGTTGGAAGTTCGAGGTTTAATATCTGGTTTGTGATTTCATTTAAGCTGATACTGTGCTCTCCAATGTTAAAGGATGTTGGTAGTGTGAAAGATGACACTGTGATTTCATATTGTGGAATCTTAAATGAAAGGAAAGACATTTTCCCCTGTAGATACTCTGTTTCAATAATGTAACTGGGCACTGACATTATTGGCAAGAGAGGCAACATGATTTGAAAGGCTGTAGTAGTGATAACCTTAGGCATGTTTAGGTTCTTTGGATCAATTGTAAAGGGTTCCACATGCAAGTTGGTAAATGGTACATCAAAGGCTGGAACTGAGATGGCAGGGGGAAGAGTGAGATGATCAGGGACATCTGGCTTTTCAAATCGCATGTCTATCTTCCTGATTGAGAGTGGAATTTCTTTCATCCAAAACGGCACTGCAATGCTAATTTCTGGGATATTAAAAGTCATGCTGTTTTCAAATAGTTTAAATGGTATTTTATACTCCTGGCCATAAATAGTCTTTGTGTACACAATGCTGGAAGAGATGTTAAAAAAGTGTAAGTCATCCAAATGTGTGACCTGGTCATACTTGAGAACATCCCAGATTGTTTTCTGATATACAGGAAGCCTAACTGACTTCAGGAAAGCTTGGTGGCCTTCCACTGATCCGGTCAAGTCCATACGTACTTCGGATTCATCATTGGAAATGAGTAAATCACAAGCATGGATGATGGATGCCAGCTGCTCCTTACCACTCCAAGCGAAAGACTGTTTGTCCGAGCTGATAGCAAGGTTGATGCTCTGAAAGAGTCCAGTATTACCCAAGCTACTTGGCTGACTTGCATCAATGTTTAATGTAGTCTTGAAAGTTGTTAGAGGAACAACATCTAGTTCTCCTATAACAATGTACTTTCCATTAGTGTTGAAAGATGCAATATCAATATTGTTATTGCTGGTGTGATCAACTGTTGCAAACATTCGCCGTAATGAGACCTCAAGGGCTATGTTATTATTTACATCAAACTGGAAGACTTTATTGTATGTGCTTCGTTTTAGTTTCTCCTGTTTGTCAATGTTTGAGTTTAAGACCGTCCTAACCGTTGATCGTAGGTTATTGGCATTAAGGTAAAAACTGGCCACATTTTCTAGCTCTCCATCAAAGTTACAACTGTCCATTAGTGTTATATCTGACTTCCCTTCTGTGGAGGTCTCTAATGACACATAGGAAGAAGGTGCTTCCAGGACCCAGTTTATATCAAGATTTCCTTTTCCTACCGACCTAATCAGAGGAATGTTAAACATATATTTTATTTTTTTCTTAGAAACTAAAGTTGCATTTGTCTTGGTATTTCCGGTGAGTTCCTGACCGAACTGTAGATTTAAGAAGGGTAGATTGATTTTTGCAGTGTTTACTAGAGAAGCTTCCAAGCTCCTTTCGGTGAGATTAACATCACATTTGTGGTTTGCTTCTACATTTTTATGTTCTAGGTACACAGTGGTGACCAGTTGTATTCCTCTATTCTTTGCCAAACTGGTGGTGCCATCAATTTTTCCATTTAAAATGTCAAACACAGATGTTGAAGAAGTGCTGAACCGTGCAGCAATGTCTGAATAGTTGAAAAAGCCAGCATTAGAACTTAAGGTGATTATAGTGGATTTAAAGAAGAAGTCAAAAGTTATGTTACCCATGGCTGGGATCAAAATGTTGTTTTGAATGGCTGGTAGTGTGAAAGTGGGGAGTTGTATTTCACCTAAAGTTTCTGGAACATGGATAACAGGTAAACCCAAAGATGGTAGAACAAGGGTATAGGATGGCACAGTAAAACCTAGTGCTGGAACTTTGAAGCTTGGTGTACTGACCTCCTTGGGGACAAAGTAACTAAAGGCAGGCATCTCAGCACTAATAGCGGAAACATCAATATTCAATATTGGTATTTTGTATCCAGGGACAGTGAAGATTTGAGGAGGCAGACTAGAGGTGTCTATTTTGTGTTTGATATACTGTGACTTTGCTTTGTTGTACGAATCTTTTAAATGTGCAACTACTTTGTCTCTACATTGTTCAAATTGAGCCTGGATGAAGTTGGCGTTGTCTATAATTACATTGTAAATTGGTTCAAGGTGTAATTCAAAGATGTGTGTATCTGGGTTCTTGTAGTAATGCATTTTCAGGTTGATATCAAATGACTGTTGAGGATTGGTGAGCAAGGTTGTAAATCCAGCATTTTCCCACAGAGAGAGCTCTTTGACCTCAGGAATATTAATATTGAGATAGGGTACGGTTATCTCTGGGATAGTTAGAGGAACAGTCAAAAAGTCCAAATTAGCCTCTCCATTAGCGTATGAGTGAAAGAAGATGTCCAGGTCATTGTTTTCTGCTGTAAAGTTGTGATTGTATTTGTACTGGTTAAATCTTGCCAAAGTAAACCAACAAGCATGCTGCTTTTCAGAATTTAGTACAACACTATAATCCTGCTGGAGATCCACTTTACCAGTAAGTTTTAATGGGAATATCATCTTGGAGTTTACTTTATTCTTGACATCAAGCACAATTTCAAATGGATGGACCATGAATTCCAGAGAGTTGGCAATGAATCCAGTCAGGCTTCCAGTTAATTCAGCATTATGAGAGGCTATCACTGCAATTTTTAAGTCCGAAATATTAGCCTCTGCATTTAAAATCATAACACTGTTCTTGACAGATGGTACTTCAGTTTCCCATTTTGCTAAAACAGTGACATGGTTTAAGATCACGGATTCAGCGGTCAGCATTTGCTTCAATTTCATGGCCTTACAGTCTGTTTCTCCTACAAAAGTAAATTTGGCAGTGCTAAAATTGATGTTGAATTCAGCATTGCTATTGTATGTACCTTCATCAAAATAGTCTTGAATGGACCACTTTCCATTACCAGTAGTTTCACCAGTCACAGTTATTCTACCTGAATCCAGGCTGGCTGTTATATTCTGTTTCACTGATGCCTGATTTGAAGTTTCAATTGATGGATTGTCAACGCTGTGGTCGTAGTTTGTGTCTATTACTGCAAAGATACCATTCTTTAATGTAAGTTTCATATTGTTGACCAGGTTTGCAGTATAGATTTGGGTTGTAGCCTTGGCAGTGGTCTTAGCAGAAGCCTCTGCGGAAGAGCCAGTGAGTGTCATGGATACTCCATGATCTATTGAGAAGGCAACATGTGTGGCTTTCACGGTTTCTGTGAAAAGCAACTTCTTCATTCTAGGAGCTTCCAATTGTGCAGTGGCTTCATATGTGTATTCAAGGGGCTCAATGGGTGATTTGGCAAAAGAAGTAAGAGTGGCTGTAAACTGTGGGTTTTTTGGTGTGGATGTTGAGTTCTCAATCTTCCCTGTAGTGTGAAGAGTGTACTGTGGGGAGTTCACTGTAAATTCTCCATGAAGTTTGCCAAAGATTGGGATACAAATGTCACTTCGAACCTCAGGTAATGTGAACACTGGAATTGGGAGCATTGTGATTTTAAAATCATTATAATTTAACTTGGGGATGATGAAGGCTGAAAATGTTATTTCTGAAAGACTTATTTCCGGTAAGGTGAGATCTGGTAATTCAGGTAGGTAGAGAACTTTGAGGTCACCAAAGATTTCCCCAGGGTCATGAAGTTCGATCTCAAATTCCCTGATGTTGTCTATGATATAAATTATGTTTGCTTTGATCTCATCAAAGTCAATGGTGAAGGCAGGAATTGTGTAGGTGTTGAGGACGGTGAACTCAGGGACTGAAATTTGAGCTGGGATGCTGATCTCTTGCAGTTTGTTCAGGTTGATTGTAAATGCTGGAATGATAAGGTCAGTGAGAGGTATAGTAAAAGTGGAAACTTTAATCTCAGCTGTTCTCAGTGCAACAAGAACTCCATCTACAGTTTGTTTGATTTGGGTGATGATCTCCTTATCATTGGCAAGTTTTCTGATCTCAACTGTCAGTTGGTTAAACTGTGCAGAAATGTAGGCAACCACATTAGTGTAGGATTCACTTGCTCTTTTGAGGTAAATGTACATTTCGTTTCTGATATCCATGTCAAGGATTCTTTGTCGCATATCTTCGAGAATATCTTGCACTTTCATCTTGATGTCATTGTAAAATGTTTTGTCAATCACAGTTTTCAATTTATTCAAGGCATCAGCAAGTTTAGTTTTTTTTAGGTTGTCCAAATATGTGAAGGTGGAACTTTGGATCTCTCTGAAAAATTCCCTTACTGCCTCAAGTTTTTGCACAACCTCATATGTTTTAATCTGTTTGTTGATATTATTTGTTAGTTCAGCAATCCTCTTGTTGGACTCGTCAACAAATGCACTGTAGTCAAATTCCTTCAGTGATTTAATCATTGATGATATATGTTTATGAAGCTCATCAATGCTTTTCCTAAATTCAATTTCTTTGAGCTGTCTTGTCACGCTGAGCAGAAGTTGCATAATGTTATCATAAACCAATTCAAAATGGACAGATTTCAAAGTTGCTACAATCAACCGCACAGTCTCATCAATTTTAAATTCATTGACTAGAATCACTAGCTGATCTAATAATTCTTTACATTTCTCATCAAGACTGTATTTTAAAAGAAGATCCCTAATGTAGAAATACAGCGTATTGATTTTGTTGGGGATTTCATATTCATCAATCCAGTTGACAATAACATCGTTCATAGATTCCATGACTTTTGCTATCTCCGAAGAGGGGATTCTATATGACAGCTGCTCAAAATAATTTGCCAAATCTATTGATAGAAGGTAATCCTTTAAATCTTCAAAAAACATTTTAAAGTCAAAGATTTGAATGGCCTGTTTCATTTCAGAAAGTTTGTCTTTGATTTTCTCCAAGACTCCATATTTAGAATCAAATTCTCGAAGCCACACAGAACTGCTTTCTGTGAGCTTCTGAAAATCAATCTGTCTGATGATGTCCTCGATGGTATCAAGTGCTTTGACAAGTGAATGCTTAATTTCATACTGTTCATCAATGGACCAAAGCTTATTTCCAATTTGTGAAAGTACATCTGTTATCATGTTGATAAGGTGTCTGGCCTTGACATACTCTTTTATTGTAAGGATGAGATCTCTTACTTTAGTGGCAAAGTCCATTACTGTATTTTCAATGAACTCTCTCAAATTGTTCACAGCAACCTCCAAATCATTCATAGTTACAGCAAACTCATTGACCAGATAATCCAATTTAGCTTTTACTTTATTTACTTTGTTCTCTAAGTCAATTTCTTGCATGAAGTGTGTCACTTGCATAGGTACCCTGTCTAGCTTGGCTCTGAAGTCAGTGATTAGCTGAATAACATCTAAATTGTGGATGAACTGTTGAAGTGATTCTAAGGCTTGGACAAGTGTGTTCTTGTACTGCTCCAAAGCAACAGGAAAGCTTTCAATTAATGGGATGTCAATGACGTGACAGTCACCGTTCTTGTCATACTTGATGAAACCAGCCATACTAAATTCTTGTATTTCTGATTTCGTGTCTTTTTTGCCCAAATTCTTGAAAATGTCTGTTAACATTACTCCTGAAAACTCTAATCCAATCTTCTCAGGATTATTAAAAGTACTGATGTCCTGGTTATAAGCATGGTTATTTAGTTCAGATTTTACTTTCCAGGTCAGAGATTGGTCACTTGGTGTCAGGAGGCCATCAAACTGGTTTTCTAAATGAGTGGAAGACTCTCCACTTGGAAGCATATGTGTGGTTGACACCCGGGTGTCATGTGAGTGTGTAAAAGCTAGGGGCTCAGCTCTAATTAACAACTTGCTGTTCAGCTGTCCGGCGTGCTTCCCATATAGATTAATTTCTCCATCACTGTTTACGATCGCATCAAGAGTGAGCCTGAAAGGCTGTGCCATGGTGCGAATAGTACTGTCAAAACGTAGAGGTTCTGACTTTATTTGTGCCTCACAGTTTAACTTGGAGGAAAGTCCAGCAATCTCAAGTTCACAGTTGTGACTTAGTTGGGCATCCGTTAAGTTCCCAGACATGTTGTATTTCATTTTTCCAGCCATATTGTCAATACTCAGCTCATAGGTATGTTTAATGTTGTGTTCTTCTCCATATGCTCCCTTCATATTTCCACTCAGATCCATCTTAATTGGCTCAAGCTTCATGTGGCCAACATTGTTCAAACTGATATCATAAAACCTGAGGTCATTTGACAAATCAAATGACATAACAAATGGCTTAATATTTACCCTGGTGTCTTGCTTGTAGTGCATATCTTCACAGATAAAGTTTTTAGTCTTGGATTGGAGGGCTAGGGTCCACAAAGTTAGGGTCAGTGTGTGGCTATTTTCTGTATTCATCTGCTTGAATGTCCCCATGGTATTGCTAGTAAAGGCCAGAGCCCTTCGGTTCAGAATAATGTCTATGTTGTTTCTTGTGGTTGCGTCATATGCATGGCCCTTGAAGACACCATTCAAAGAAGCTTCAGCAGCTGTGATTTTAACTTCAATGTTCAGCTCTCCCCTGCTCTCCATAGCCAATGTTTTGACCCCGGATGAAAAGGATGCTCCATTGTTGTCAATGGCACCACTGAAAATATTCTCCACTGTGACAGGGCTACACTGAATGATGTTAGTTCCACTTGTGGTCAGATCATTTCTGCTAACCAAAAGAGAAGCTTTGTGCAATCCACGACCTGTGTCCAATGTGAGAGAACCTTCAGAGTTGACCTCAAGACCATTTGAATCCAGGGATCCTGTTATAAGTGAAAATGCTCTATTTGAGTCACCATCTGCCTGTGACTCAATTCTGAGGATGGCCATTTGACTGGACACTCCAAGCTCAACTTTGTTATTGAGTGATTTACCCATTGCTGAGGCAACTGCATTGCACTTTAGGGTCAGTTGTGCATCTTTATACTTGAGGTCTGCTACATGGTTGAAGACATCCTTTTGGACATTGGTTTTGGACACAATGTTCAACTCAGAGTTTGCGTAAACTCCTTGGATCATGTTGTGAACTTCCATGAATGGCAAGTTGAAGTGAAGGTTGGAATCTCCTCTTCCTTTTCCCTCAAGCGGACTCATGTTATAGCTGTGGGTGTAGGAGGTATTGGTGTAGAATGAACATATTTTGAGCAATCCATCAACTGTGCCATCTCCTGAGACTTTACATGAATCAATAGTTGAAGTTGACTTAGCAGAGTAGTATAGAGATGCTTGCAGGCCAATTGGACTAGAGGCTTCAATCTTGTAGTTGGCTCTTGCATTCAATGTGTTTGTTACCGTTAATGTGTTAAAGACACTGAAGCTTGTGTCAATGAGGCTATGGCTGAAGGAACTATTCAGAAGGTACTTCAAATTATCATCGGCTTTTCCTGACATCATCCCGGTTCCTTGAAACAGACAGACAGAAAGTATTTTATTATCAGAATTCGCAACACACAAGCTTAAAGGTGGGGTAGGTAAGTTTGAGAAACCGGCTCGAGATACACTTTTTGTTATATTCCATGGAATGCTCTTAACATCCCGATAGCAATGAATATCTTAAGTGCTTTGACAAAAAATCCATAAAAAAATGTCATCTGTGGAAGCCGTAATACTGTAAAAAGTATGACCAATCATTTTAGCCGGCCCGGCTGAAATAACTGGATGGCCTACCTGCCTGTCAGCCTTCCATCTGTGCACAAATGTATCTCGTGCCCTCATTGGTCATGTGCGCATTCGTGTGTGTTGGAGGAGGGGCTCTGTAAGGAAGTAGCAGATTTCTTCCGGCTGTGTATTTTCAAATTCTAGCGCGCTCGAGCTGGTTTCTCAAATTACCTACCCCACCTTTAATATGTTATTCTGCATCATACCAGATCAGACCTGAGCCGTTATAAATAATAATACATTATACAAAATTATAAATTATAAAGAATATCATTGTGAATCACAAACAAAAAGTGTTAACAGGCTTTGCTACAACAAATAGGTAGATCGTCTCTGCAGTTACACTTTCTTACACACACATAAATACAGCAGACAGTGTCTCAACCCGACCTATTTGCAAACACTTTGAAATAGCTGAATCAATAAATTGGCATAGTTTAAATAAGTTAAAATAAGTCAAGTTAGTCGTTAGTTTGTTTAGTATTTGGCCGTGTAATAAGCCGGGTAATGTACAGCGAGCCGGTCATTATTGGAGGAAAAAAAACACGGACAGTATCATCACAGAGACTGACGCGAAGCGGAGGGATCTTGATCGGGTGTTTTTTTTTTTACATTTGAGATGTTCCTGCATCACTGTGGTGCTCCCGTACCATGCAAGTTCGATTTTAACACACTTTTTACTGTTGTTTAAAGTGAAGTGCTCCCAAGCTGATTTTAGTCGGACCATGCTTCTCTACGCCTCCGCCATTTTTCGAATGTATTTTTTTTCAAGTGACATAGCCAGCTCCGCAAACAGAGAGTAACAACATAGACCCAACGAATCGACGACTGAATTAGTTGGCAACTAATTTGGTCATCGATTTTAATCGATTATGTCGATTAGTTGTTGCACCCCTAGAGACTATATGACTGGACTATGCTATTTTGTATACCTTGTTTTTTATGAATTGTATTTGTTTGAATATGTTCTATTTTTGCAGAGTTCTCCCCAGTAAAACAGAAAAACAATAACATTTTTGGTTTTACCCAATTACTGACCTTCAAGCTTGTATGAAAGTAGGTTGAAAGGTGATTGGGCCATTGCCTTGTACTGTACAATGTAGTTGGGGACATCCACAGTGTTGTTGCCCCCAGAGATGGAACCTTCCCAGCTGTAGAAGTTGCTGTTGATCTTGGTGGATGCTTCAACCAGACCGACAAGGGGGACAGTCAAATCCAAAAAAGGAGGTATAGTGAATGATGGTAGATTAACGGTTTTGGCAGGAATATTAAGGCCTATTGTTGGTAAATCTATAAGGGGAATAGACACTGTTGTTGGTATGTTCAGCTCTTCTGACGTTTTGCCTCCATGTGGAAGAGGAATTGAGATGGCCATCTTATCCTTGTTGAATTGGTATCGGAACAAGCTGTCACTGTTAAAAAATGCATAATCAATATTATTCCAATGTTGAAAATGTAATAATAAAGTTACCATGCATAGGAAACCACATGACACAACAAATTGTTCAGTTGAATCTGTAAATTATGGTTTATGATCAGTAAAATCTGAAAGCAAGAAGTATTTTTAAACTCTAAAAAAACTTACGAATGCACAAACAGTTTCTCGGGCAAAGCTGGCAGGGTCAGATCTGAGATGCTTCTCTTACTTCGCAGATTTACAAGATAGGGGATGCGTGCTGTCAGTTTGTCCAACCATATATCACCTGCCTTCAGGGTGACATCACATTTCACTTTAACAAAACTTCAAAGTTTGAAAGCTGTTTTGATTCCGATCATGCTCATTTCTTCCTGTTAATGTGCTGTAATCAAGATCAATGACTGCACTAGTATATGGAAACCAGTTTAAGCAGTACAGCCAGTTGGTGTTACTGTTCATACCAGATATTTAATGATTTGTTCTAAAATATTTGTTTGTTCATTTTATGCACATCACTATGGCATAATGGCCCACCAAACAAATAGTCAATGAATCATTAGTCACAAGGCTCCATTTTCACTAAAATATTTCTATATTTCTTGAAGATGGTAGTTTATATAGTGTCAAATGTCCAAGTGATACCTCAATTCCTTTGGTGACTATGTGACGCAGTTTCATATCAGTCTTTGCCACTGTCTGGTCCAGGATATGATCAATGAGTTGTTGCAGCTGCCTGTGATGATCAACTATACTTGGGATCAGTTTATGAATCTCTATATTCATGTCAGATTTCAGTTCCACCTCAAACTTGTCATCATCTGTAAAGAGAAATCCAAATCCACCAACAAATTAAGGATGAAAGAATGTTTTACATCTCCTTTCTGTGCTGAAGTGAGTGATGAAAGTTACCAAATTTTAGGGAAGCTTTTTGTTGGTAGGATGTCTTAGGGAGGTTTATGGCTGTCACTAAGTCCATGAGCACATCCTTATCCTTCTTTAGGGTTGCAGAGACAGAGGCTTCAGTTTTTATAATGGGAATGACCATCTGTAGCTGCAGCATGGCATCATTCATCATATGAAGTCTAAAACAAGGACATACATATTGGATTATTTCTCAGTCATTTTCATTTTCTAGTATGTTTATAAAACAAAAAATCTCTCAAGACACCAGAGAGCACAGCTGAACTTATTATGTATCTTTAGGTTGGTTTCGCAGAACGATGTACCTTGTATGTCCTATAAGAGTCAGCTGTGGGATGTTCCTGTTGGTGACATCAATAGTAATACCTCTCATCTTCTTTCCTCTGGCATCACTCTCAATTACAGCCAGCCTAATGCCTGCTTCCACATCGTAGTCGGGAATGACAACCTCAGTGGTGAGAGTATTCTTGTTGCGGTTATATTTCAGAGACGCAGTAGCCTCGAGTGAATCGAATCCTAGAATCAGCAACAAATGATGTTTTTCAGTGTTTGTCATAGGAACAATATCCAACCCTGTTCCTTTTGCACGACAACAACACTGACAACACATAGCACAGTTTACAGGGGGCCTGCAGCTTAAAGACAGCCCAGCATTTTACAAGAGCTTGCAGCCAAAGACAACTGCAGTTTTTTAAAGACACCAAGGCCACTTCCATATAATGAGGGAACAACAGAACTGTACAATCTTCCTGCTTCCCTGAGGTCACCATGTGGTAATATTTTGCATCCTGTGAGTTATCTAAATAATATAAGCCTAACTAGCATTCAAGATCCAAGGACCATACAAAAAGGAAGGATTTGGAGTTGGTGAGAAAAAGTTAACCCGAGGCAGTTTTTTTTAATGGTCCTAGGACAATAGTTCACTTCTCACCATGGTAGATTACCTTATTGACTTTAGCTGCACACCTAACCAGCTCCAGAGCAAAATATTATATAGAGACAAGATGTTTTATGCTCTGTCATTCAAGGCTAAGAGCAAGACATTTTAAGAATCAGGACCAACGGCTGACAATTCATTGCTGAATGCTTAACCTGTTAAGCCCTGAGCCTGTTTTTCAGGTCTCAGGCTCGAAAATGACATTCCCAGAACAAATGACCATATCTTCCCTTCTAAAAGGGTTACATTAATAATCTTTTTTCTCAAAGTAATGATAAACCTGTGAGTTGGATGTAGAAAAGTCAGAATCAATATAGATGTTTTTTATTTTAAAGAAAATTCAGATTTTACATAGTAAAAAACTGTAAATTATAGTGTCCGTCCAAATATTCTTTTTTACTTATAGTGAAAACCACCCTTGGATGATGGGTTAGTAGACTAAAAGCTTTAGGAATCCAAAGTACAACATATAATAAGTACTCGTTGCTAATTCAGAGGCTCAGTGTTAGCATTGTGGGTTTTCTTTTGAAAAAAAAAAAAAAAAAGATCAGTTAGATGAGTTTCTTCATGGATATAAAACATTCATAGTTTTATTAAATGAACATGCCCTCAGACACTGTTTCCTGCAAGATGTAGCGACAGTGCCCCGGTACCGGGGTCTCTCGGGCTTAACAGGTTAACCTGTTAACCTGTTACGCACCTTCCGCCCGGTACCGGGCGGATAAACGCGTCATTTGCAGGAAACAACGTTTAAGGAATCTTAATATTGAATAAAACTATGAATGTGTTATATCCATGTAACGGGAAGAAACTCAGCTTACTGATCTTTTTAATTTTTTTTTTCAAAAAAAACCCACAATGCTAGCACTCAGCCTCTGAATTAGCCTCGACGAAAAAACGTAACCTACAAAGGCACTTAAACTCACTCACAACTCCCTTATTACTTATCCTAGATGCAAAACCAACCACTCGTTTTTGGTGTCCTGGAGACACTGAATCTACCGGTGCCCACCTCAACACTCAGTGATAAACATTCGCGACGCTATAAACTAAAGCGTACATCACAACATGTGGAGCTAAGTAGCTAAAAACGCCAATATGGCTTACCTTGGTCAAAACTGGTCTTCAATGGCATTCAAACGATACAAAAACGATACTGCAGTTAATCCATAGGTTCATCCTATGTATCTGTGCCTTCTTTGAAATTATTTCTGATAATCCATAAGCAATAAAACGGATCCAAACTCCAGAAGGAGAAAATCTGCAAATCCAGTTTCAATTCTAGACGCGTAGCCCCCACCTTTTCTATTTACAACAAGTGTGTGAGTGGGCCTCCCCCTTCGATTCTATTGGCTCTAACGGTCACAAGGGTGTGTCAACCAACCAAATCGACCAAGGGGGGCCAGAGATAGGTCAAATCCACCCAAATGACCCCAGAAGTGGGGGGTTTTGGCTAAATCTCTCTAAAAAGGTCAAATTTCACTTGTTTTGCATCAATCTTGATACAGGGTACTTATTATATGTTGTACTTTGGATTCCTAAAGCTTTTAGTCTACTAACCCATCATCCAAGGGTAGTTTTCACTATCTGTAAAAAATAATTTTTGGACGGACACTATAATTTACAGTTTTTTACTATGTAAAATCTGAATTTTCTTTAAAATAAAAAACATTTATATTGATTCTGACACTTCTACATCCAAGTCACAGGTTTATCATTACTTTGAGAACAAAGATTATTAATTTAACCCTTTTAGAAGGGAAGATATGGTCATTTGTTCTGGGAATGTCATTTTCGAGCCTGAGACCTGAAAAACAGGCTCAGAGTGGAACAGGTTAAGCACCAAGCCTGTTTTTCATGTTTCAGGCTCGAAAATGACATGCCCAAAACAAATGACTACAACTTAACTTCTAAAAGGGTTATATGAATAATTTCTTTTATCAAAGCAAGGTTACATCTGTGAGTTGGATGTAGAAGTGTCAGAATCAATATAGATGTTTTTTATTTTAAAGAAAATTCAGATTTTACATAGTAAAAAACTGTAAATTATAGTGTCCGTCCAAAAATTCTTTTTTACAGATAGTGAAAACTACCCTTGGATGATGGGTTAGTAGACTAAAAGCTTCAGGAATCCAAAGTACAACATATAATAAGTACCCTGTATCAAGATTGATGCAAAACAAGTGACATTTGACCTTTTTAGAGAGATTTAGCAAAAAGAAACCACTTCTGGGGTCATTTGGGTGGATTTTCAATATCTCTGGCTTCCCTTGCTCGATTTTGATGGTTGACACCTCTTTCTGACCGTTAGAGCCAATAGAATTGAAGGGAGAGTCCCCCACACACATGTTGTGAAGAGAAAAGGTGGGGGCTTCGCGCATGTCATTTTCCATCAGAGTGAACCTATCTCTAGCTTTGACATCTGGAAACGGAAAAGCAGTTTTAATGCTTATGGATTGTCAGAAATCATTTCAAAGGGACACAGACACATTAGATTAACCTATGGATTAACTTCAGCAGCGTTTTTATCGTTTTAATGCCATTGAAGACCACTTTGGAGAGACTACAGAGCAAAGGTAAAAATGTTAGCATTTTTAGCTACCTAGCGTCACCTGTTTTGATGTCCGTGTTTGCTTATAACGTCGCAAATACGTATAATTCAGTGGTAATGTCGGTGTCAATCGAATCTGTGTCACCTCACGATGTGAAACGATGTGTTGAAAAGATAAATAATAAGGTTTTGTGAGTGATTTTCGGTTCAGTAAGGTGTTAGCATTTTTCGCTCGTTGCTAATTCAGAGGCTCAGTGTTAAAAAAAAAAAAATGATGAGTTTCTTCATGGATATAAAACATTCATAGTTTTATTAAATGAACATGCCCTCAGACACTGTTTCCTGCAAGATGTAGCGACAGTGCCCCGGTACCGGGGTCTCTCGGGCTTAACAGGTTAACCTGTTAAGCACCAAGCCTGTTTTTCATGTTTCAGGCTCGAAAATGACATGCCCAAAACAAATGACTACAACTTAACTTCTAAAAGGGTTATATGAATAATTTCTTTTATCAAAGCAAGGTTACATCTGTGAGTTGGATGTAGAAGTGTCAGAATCAATATAGATGTTTTTTATTTTAAAGAAAATTCAGATTTTACATAGTAATAAACTGTAAATTATAGTCTCCGTCCAAAAATTCTTTTTTACAGATAGTGAAAACTACCCTTGGATGATGGGTTAGTAGACTAAAAGCTTCAGGAATCCAAAGTACAACATATAATAAGTACCCTGTATCAAGATTGATGCAAAACAAGTGACATTTGACCTTTTTAGAGAGGTTTAGCCAAAACCACCCCACCTCTGAGGTGATTTGGGTGAAAATGGTTTTTTTTCCATATCGGGGGGTTACGTATTGTAACCCTAGTTATATAAACACAGGCGGAGCCCTCTACTGGACTCTATGGGTACTACTCTCTATCATGCTGTGCGTGCTATCACCTACTGAATTTACGTAAACGTAGCCGGCCAATCGGGGCGAGCCTACCTGAATGCGCGCGCAGGCCCACAGTATATAAGGCGGCTACACCCGCCGCCCCACTATCCTATACACTCTTCAGCGAGCGGACTAGGAAAGACAGGGCCCCCAGGTAGAGGGCTCCGCCTGTGTTTATATAACTAGGGTTACAATACGTAACCCCCCGTTATATCTCACACAGCCCCGATGTATAAACGCCCTGTCGTCCAACAACATCGACCCACCACACCGTCCCTGACCGGCTTTTGGCTAACATCCACTGCATCCCCACTTCCTCCCATCTGGTTGTAACTGTGGAGAAGTCGGGGCCGCAACTTGGATAAGGCACCCTCACACACGCTTACCTCGTGTAGAGTGTGCATGGAAAAAATGTGATGTGCAGGGCCCTTAGAGACAACACAATCTGTGAAACCCACAGCCACAGGTTCTCTGCTGCGGTCAACAAGGCTATTGAGCGGACTCCGCCCTGCCTGTTGATGTACGCCACTGTGGTGCGGTTGTCGCTCCTTACAAGCACATGTTTGCCCTGTATTAAGGGTTTGCAGTGCTGTAGGACCAACATCACTGCTTGCAGCTCCAGGAGGTTGCTGTGCCGCGCCTCTGCCAGAGGCCAGCAACCACCCACAGCTCTCTCTAGACACGCCCCCCCCCCATCCTGTCACTTTCTTTTCCTTTGAAGCGTCTGTGAAGACTGTGATATAGGAGGTTACCTGCCCCAGTGGAGCTCCCCTCCGCAGATTCTCTGGGGACCCCCAGAATCGGAGGTTGCTCTATACTGAGGGGGGGGATGGCCACCAGACGTCGTTTGTGTCTTAAGATCTAAACGAAGGCCGGTAAACCACCTCTGCATGCGACGTGCATGCAGCAGTCCGAGTGGCACTACGGAGTGAGCAGCCGTCATGAGACCCAAAGTCTGCATGATGATCAAAGCTGCCACCGTCGCCCCCTGACGCAGCCTGCAGACTGCCCGCAGCAGGGATGCCTGTCTGCTTTCTGTCAGGGTGACACGTAGTCTGCCTGCATCGAGCATCACCCCCAGATATTCTACCTGCTGG